GCATGAGGAGGCGGTGCTGTGTGTGGGGTGGAGCCGAGACTCGGAGATGCTGGCCTCGGGGTCGCAGGACGGCAAGATCAAGGTGACTGGCGTGCTGGGGTTGGGTTGGGTTAATGGTGGCGCATGGTCCATGTTCCTTGCTGCATGTGTCATGGGTGCAGGCATCCTGATGCCATGGTAATGCATCCCGATGCCATGGTAATGCATCCCGATGCCATGGTATAATGCATCCCGATGCCATGGTATAATGCATCCCGATGCCATGGTATAATGCATCCCGATGCCATGGTATAATGCATCCCGATGCCATGGTATAATGCATTCCGATGCCATGGTATAATGCATCCCGATGCCATGGTATGATGCATCCCGATGCCATGGTATAATGCATCCCGATGCCATGGTATAATGCATCCCGATGCCATGGTAATGCATTCCGATGCCATGGTAATGCATGGCCCTTCACAGCTTCCAGTGCCTTGCAACACGCATCCCTCACGCCGTCCTCTCTCCACCCCCTCCTCTCCCCCGCTCACAGGTATGGCGGGTGCGCACAGGGCAGTGTCTGAGGCGCTTTGACAAGGCGCACTCACAGGGAGTCACCTCGGTGGCGTTCTCTCGGGATGGCAGTCACCTGCTCAGCGCCTCCTTTGATGGCACTGCCAGGTATGGCGCTCCTTTGATGGCACCGCCAGGTATGGCGCTCCTTTGATGGCACCGCCAGGTATGGCGCTCCTTTGATGGCGGCGCTCCTTTGATGGCACCGCCAGGTATGGCGCTCCTTTGATGGCACCGCCAGGTATGGCGCTCCTTTGATGGCACCGCCAGGTATGGATGAGGTAATCGTGAATCGACAGGTATGGATGAGGTAAAGAGGTATGGATGAGGTACTTGTGAATCGCCAGGTATGGATGAGGTACTTGTGAATCGCCAGGTATGGATGAGGTACTTGTGAATCGCCAGGTATGGATGAGGTTCTTGTGAATCGCCAGGTATGGATGAGGTACTTGTGAATCGCCAGGTATGGATGAGGTACTTGTGAATCGCCAGGTATGGATGAGGTACTTGTGAATCGCCAGGTATGGATGAGGTACTTGTGAATCGCCAGGTATGGATGAGGTACTTGTGAATCGCCAGGTATGGATGAGGTACTTGTGAATCGCCAGGTATGGATGAGGTACTTGTGAATCGCCAGGTATGGATGAGGTACTTGTGAATCGCCAGGTATGGATGAGGTACTTGTGAATCGCCAGGTATGGATGAGGTAATCGTGAATCGACTCAGAACCTTAATGCCCACTCACAGGGGAGTCACCTGCTCAGCGCCTCCTTTGATGGCACCGCCAAATATGGCGTGGCGCTCTGTATTGCTGTCTGTTCTGGTAACTTCAATTGCGGTATCATGCATGTTTCACACTCTCTTTCTCTTTTGAGACGTCTCAAAAGGTATCATGCATGTTTCACACTCTCTCCCTCGCGCTCACTTCCCCACCAGGGTGCACGGGCTCAAGTCAGGCAACACCTCCAAGGAGTTCCGGATCTGGAGGCACATGTCTTTTGTCAACGATGCTGTCTATTCTGCTGGTGCTGGTCATGAAGGGAGCGTAGACTATGAGGGTCTAACTCATGCGCTCCCTCATAGTCTACGCTCTCTTTCCCTCTTGCTCCTTTGTTCAGGGTGCACGGGCTCAAGTCAGGCAAGACACTCAAGGAGTTCCGAGGGCACACCTCTTTTGTCAACGATGCGGTCTATTCTGCTGATGGTGGCCGTGTCATCACTGCCTCCTCCGATGGCTCTGTCAAGGTGATGTGGGGTGCAGTGCGGTGATATGAGGTGCAGTGCAGTGCCGAGTGTGTGTCGTGCGAGGGAAAATGGTGCTGCATCAGCGAGAGCGTGAGGATGGGTGCATTTAGTCGTGAGGATGGGTGCATTTAGGCGTGAGGATGGGTGCTTATAGGTGGCAAGGCTTTGAATCCTCAACTACACTGACCTCAATACTCCATCCGTCCCTATCCCTCCCCACCCCTCCTCCTCATTCCCTCATCCCTCCCCACCTCTTCCCACCCATCCTTTCCCCCAACCAGGTGTGGGACGTCAAGTCACTCGAGTGCTTGCACACGTTCAAGCCGCCACCACCCCTCCGAGTGAGTCGCCTCCCATGCTGCTGCCCTGCCTATCCCTGTCACGCCCTCTCAGCCCTGCCTGTCCCTGTTCCCCCTGGTCAGCCTTGTCTAGCCCTGACCCTTCACGTCACTCAATCTCCTTCCCCATCGTTCAGCTGCACCACCCGTGAAGGCCAGTGGTTCACCTTCACTCACTCCAATCCCTCTGTGCCCACCTTCCTGACTCCACTCAAAACTCGTCTAATTTCTCTCCTCCACTCATTCTCCTTCCCCATCGTTGATCTGCACTACAGTCCCTCTTACCCTTTCTTCCCCTAGAGGGTGCACACTGTCACTCATCCATGTCCTCCCCTCTAGCCTCCATCTCTACTGCTCTGTCTCTGTCTTGCTCACATGTGCTGCCCCCTTTCTTTCCTCTGCACGGCTGAGATGCGTCAGTCATCACAGTGCTCCTCTCCCACCCCCCAACGTGGACCATGTGTTTGTTTTCCACTGCTCCTCCGTCTTTTTTTTTCTTCTTCTTCTTCTTCTTTTTCCTTTTTTTTTTTTCCGCGTTCTTCCCCCTGCAGGGCGGAGACGCGTCAGTGAACTCGGTGCTCCTCTCCCCTCGCAACGTGGACCATGTATTTGTGTGCAACCGCTCCTCCTCCATCTTTCTCATGACGCTGCAGGGCCAGGTGGGTGTGACTGAGTGAGGTGGAATGTGGGGGAGGTGGGTGCGGTGGGTGTGGGGAATGGGTCAGTGTGATGTGGGTGCGGCCAGTGCAAGCTGATACACTGCATGCTGTGCCTCATGCACCCGTACCCATGCAGCCACGCCACGCCACGCACCCATGCACCCAGTCTCCCAAGCAGCCACGCACCCATGCACCCAGTCTCCCAAGCAGCCACGCACCCATGCACCCAGTCTTCCAAGCAGCCACGCACCCATCGGCCTGTATTGATCCATCCACCCGGACGCCAAAGCACCCATTCTCCTGTGCTCGTATCAGGTGGTCCGCAGTTTCGCATCAGGCAAGAGGGAGGGTGGCGACTTTGATTCTTGGTCATGTGATTGGAGGCTATTCCCCATGCTACCCCATACCTCCCATGCACCCATGTACCCATGCACCCATGCACCCATGCACCCATGCACCCATGCACCCATGCACCCATGCACCCATGCACCCATGCACCCATGCCTTGATCAGGTGGTGCGGAGCTTCACATCAGGAAAGAGGGAGGGCGGTGACTTTGTGGCGGCGTGCCTGTCCCCCAAGGGCGAGTGGATCTACTGCATGGGCGAGGACGCGTGAGTGCCTCCTTGTTGCTCTCAGAGTGCACGGGCTGGTGGGTGCACGTGCACCCATGTGCACCAATGTGCACCCATGTGCACCAATGTGCACCCATGTGCACCCATGTGCACCAATGTGGCCGAGGATGTGTGGGTGCTTGAGTCGAATTCACATAACGCATCCACTGCATGGGCGAGGGTGCGTGAGTGCTGGCTGAGGTTCATCAAGCAATGACAAACCACCGAGGAGCACAGTAATTGCTTGCTGGGGTGTGGTGGACATGGCAACTCGCACCTATCCTTTCAGACTTCCCTCTCCTCACCCTCCCTCCCCTCTGCACAGCACTCCTGCTCTGCACTTAATTCCCCCACCATTGCCACTCCCTCGATGTCCTATTTCACCTTCCTTCCTTTCTTCTCCCCTCTCATGCACTCCATTCCCCCCTGCAGCAACATGTACTGCTTCAGCTTTCAGAGTGGCAAGCTAGAGCATCTCATGAAGGTATGGTTCTCTCTGTGTGTGTATGCAAAACATTGCGTGGCAGGCACAGCATCGAAAAGCATCCACATCTGCACATTCGTGTGATGCATATCTTGTTGAGACTTGTCACTAACTTCACAACGTACCCATGTGTGTGCATGTGCATGTGCATGTGCATGTGCATGTGCATGTGCATGTGCATGTGCATGTGCATGCATCTGCATCTGCATGTGCATGTGCATGTGCATGTGTGCATGTGTGCATGCGTGCATGTGTGTGCATGCGTCCATCATCTGTGCGCATGTGAGCAGGTTCATGACAAGGATGTGATAGGCATCACCCACCATCCACATCGCAACCTCATTGCAACTTACAGTGAAGATTGCACCCTCAAGCTATGGCAGCCATAGTCCTGTCTCTCTATTCGAGCCTTGACACACCTCAAAATAATCCAGTCTAACGGTTCATTTCCACGCTAGTCTCGCATACCGTAATCCCCTGGAATAAAACACCCTAGGGTGCTATCTCAAATTCTTAAGGTAAAAAATATAGCACCTGGGTGCACGTGTATCAGATTTACAAAAGGGGGATGTGTTGCACGATCCCATCCCACATTAGTGAACCACCACCAGGTTCAAGGACTCGTGGATGCTCTTGCCGCTGTGGTTTGGTACCGCTTACCACAACCAATGGTTGCATGCACTGAAGCCTGACCGCGCCACTGACAGCAGCTTCTACTGCAACCGCCGACCCGCTGCATGTCTAAGGGTTGGGTGGCGAGGCGAGTGTTAGAGAATATGTTCACACATAAAACATTCATAACTGCCTGTAGTGGACTGTGCTGTAGTGTAGTTACCCTTGCCTTTCCCTCTCTTGCTTGTATTTGTTGCCCTTGACTGCTAACATCTGAGCGCTAGGTGCAACGCAGTGCTTTTGGTACGATACCCCTCATTACGAAAAAAAAAAAAAAAAAAAAAAAAAAAAAAAAAAAAAAAAAAAAAAACGAGGCAATTCTCGAAGGAGGACTGGCACGATGAGGCTTACTGGTAGGGGGCGCCGCCGTTGCCTCTCCCAAGGAATACAGTACCAATCTGGGGGTCAACTACACTACACATTAAGGAAATCACAGTGCTTGAGAGGAGACATGACGGGGCAGGAGGGCATCAATGTCAATGACATCACTGTAGAATACACCACGCGGTAGATCTGCCAGGGACGGCGGCACGTTGTCAGGGCTCAGCTCCTCACAGCCCTCCAGCACAAAGAGGCGCAGGCGCGTCAACGTGCCCATGGCGCTTGGGAGCGATTGCAGGCTGAATGCCTCTGTCAGTACGAGGCTGAGAGAGGGTGCAGGATGGCGGGGTGGCAGGGGAGTGGGCAGGAGAGAACGTCAGGAAGAAGGGAGGAGTAGGCGCATAAAAAAAAGACTCAATGTGCTGAAGGCGCTTGGGAGTGATTGCAGGCAGAATGCCTCTGTGAGTACGAGGCTGAGACAGGGAGCAGGATGGTGGGGTGGCAGGGGAGAGGGCAGGAGAGAACGACAGGAGGAAGGGAAGAGAGAAAACGGGGAAAGAAGAGAGAAAAACATGGGGGAGACAAAAGCAGAGACGAATGCGGAAAGGTATGAAGGGAGGAAGATAGGAGGAAAGAAGATAAAGTCATGAGCAGTCATGGAAAAAACACTAGCTTGCAGCACTCACCGCTCTAGCTTTGATAGCTGTGGCAGCGATGGTGGCAGGGAGGAAAGGCTGTGGCAGCCCAGCAGGTCGAGTACCCTCAGAGAGCGAGCGAGGAGGTGCAAGCAGGGCGGGAGGGCGAGGAGGGCGGGGCATGTGTGCAGGCGCAGGGAGGAGAGATGCGGGAGGAGAGCGAGTGAGGGGGGGAGGTGAGTGAGGGAAGTGAAGGAGGAGAGTGTGAGGTGGCGCAGGGAGGAGAGGGCGGCGATGGAGGCAGGGAGAGTGGTGGTAGAGGGGCTTGGCATGAGGGAAGGAGATGAGGTGCTCTGCACACCAGGGTTGTCTGTGGCATGAGGGTTGCTGGTGTCAAGGTTATGAATTGCAGGGAAGGCAGATGTGGGAGGGGAAGGCGGGCAGGCATGCAGCACGAGGGAGGCGAGGCGAGTGAGGGGCGCCAGGGATGGTAGCAGTGCTGCCAGGAACGCCATCTGCTGCCCCCCTCCTCCTGCACCCTTTCCTCCCTGCCAGCACGGTAACTCCAGCCGCTCCAACCTCGTCAGCCCCCGCCACGCTGTCAGCTGCTCGCTCACTCTCCCCACCACTAGCCTCGTCGCCTCCTCGCCCTCCCAACCTGCCGCCTCGCCCTCCCCCTTTGCCCCCTCGCCCTCCCCCTTTTCCTCCTCTCCCTCCCAGCAGTGGCAGGAGCGCACAGTGAGGGCAGTGAGCGCCACACAGTGCAGCCCGCTAGGCGGAGACAGCAGAAACGCCGGCAGAGGTGAGGCGTGAGAAGCCCGCGAGGTGCTGCTGCCCTCCCCTACGTGGTCACTGCCCTCCCTCTCGCCCTGCGCACCCCGTCCTGGTGCTGGTGGCCCCTCCCCTACGTGGTGGGAGGTGCTGCTGCCCTCCCCTATGTGCTCCAGTAGTAGGTGTGTGAGGTGCGAGGCCCGGGCGAGGGAGACAGGCAGTGCGGTGAGGGACGGGAGAGAGGCGAGATGCAGGGAGACGAGCGAGGGGAGGAGGCCGATGCGAGAGGGGAGCGACGAGAGGCGAGGGAGGGAGGAGACGTGGAGGTGGGAGAGGCGAGGTAGGGAGCAGAGGGAGGAGGAGACGTGCGGGAGAGAGGGGAGGGTGGAGAGGAAGAGGTGGCGAAGGTTGGTGAGGAGAGAGAGGGAGTCGGGGCAAGAGGAGAGGAGGGGGAGGTGGGAGAGAGCGAGGGTGTGGAGGGAGGTGAGGGAGGGGAGCGAGGATGGGAGGGTGGAGAGCGGTGGGAGAGAGGCAAGGTCCGAATGGAGGGAGGGATGGGATGGGGGGTGGAGGAGAGGCAGGCGATGGGGAGGAGCGGAAGGAGGGGGGGGCGGCCATGTGAGGTCCACTGCATTGGCATCATGGTGTGGCATGGCGCTGTGGCTGGGACCCATGGTGGCACTGGCAGGGACATGGGCAGCAGCAGCAGCACCACCACCACCACCAGCAGCAGCAGCAGCAGCAGCATCAAGGCAATGAACGGCTGAGAGCCACTGCTCCACGTGATGCTCTCCGCCCTGCATGTCTGTACCACTCCTTGGCATCCCCATGCTGTCCCCTTCCCCCATGCCGCCGCCCACCACTCTCCCGCCCAGCACGAGCAGCTCGAGACGAGAGAGGCCAGCCAATGCGGGTGGTGGGAGAGAGGCGAGGCGTGGGCATGAGAGGAGGGTGACGGCTCGGAGGGAGGCGAGGAGGGAGAGGGAGCAGGGCAGAGAGGCGAGGAGGTCACTGGCGGTGACTGAGAGGGAGAGCAGGGATGGGAGCAGTGGGCGGGATGGGGATGGGGATGGGTGCGTGGAGGAGGGGAGGGGGAGGAGTGCGATGGGTGTGTCACGAAGGAAGAGGGAGGAGAGGCGGGGGAGGAAGGCGATTGACTCGGGCAGCTCGACCAACCGGTCACAGCCAGTGACTGTGAGACACGTCAGTTGGGACAGCTGCCCGAGTGTATCGGGCAGAGAGGAAAGAAGTGGCATGTCGGCGAGGGAGAGGGAAACGAGAGAAGACAATTGGCCGAGGGAGGCGGGGAGGGCGGAGAGGGCAGGGCAGGAAAGGGAGAGGGAGGTGAGGGAGGAGAGGGTGGAGAGCGAAGCAGGGAGGGATGTGATTTTCCGGCAGTGGATGAGCGTCAGGTGGACCAGTCCTGTGAGCTGCCCCAGAGACTCGGGCAGCAGCGAAAGTTCTGCCAGGGAGGATAGGCGCAGGGAGTGCAGGGCGAGCAGGCGACCAAGGGAGTGTGGTAACCAGGTCAGGGCGAAGTTGTTGGCAATGGTGAGGTGGGAGAGGCGAGTCAGGCTGCCCGTCGACTCGGGCAGCTCGCAGAGATCAAAGCAGTCCGCCAGATGCAGCTCCCGCAGGTTTTCAAGCTGCCCGAGGGTGTCGGGCAGGCGTTCGAAGGAACCGGAGAGGTGAAGGCGGTGTAGATTGGAGAGACGAGGCAAGGCGCCGGGGAGGGAGTGAAGGGCAGGCGAGGAGAGGTGGAGGGATTTCAGGGATACTAGATTGCTGACGTCATCGGGCAGGGAGGAGAGGGACGGGAGGGATAGGTGCAGCGAGGTTAGGCCGGCGAGGCGGCAGACGGTGGGCGGCAGCAGGGGCAGCGACGCGGCATGCAGCAGCAGCGAGCGCAGCCGCGGCAGCGCGCGCAGTGCTGCGCCGACGGCCTCCGCGCTCACGGGGGAGTGTTCCGGGCGGAGGCGGAGGGCGGAGAGGTGCGGGCAGGCGGCGGGCAATGCGCGGAGGAGGGGGTCGGTCATTGGAAGGACGCTGCGGGAGGGAAGGTCGAGAGAGGTGAGGTGGGGGAAGCGCGAAAGGGAGAGGAGGAGCGACTGTAGCGGGAGTTGGAGGAACTCTCTAACGCGTATGGTCGTCTGCGCGTGACACGCGAGGCGGTGCCATCGCTTGCACACGAGCGCGTGGCCGAAAGCGACGCCGTGATCGGCGCAGACGTCGTCGCCGTCGTCGCCGCAATCGCCGCAATCGCCGCAACTGGCGTCATTGCCGCCGCTGCCAGCGCTACTATCGACGCGTCCGTCGGAAGCGAGGAGGCGGAAGATTCGGAGAAGGAGGTGGTCGGGCAGGCGGGAAAAGGGCGACGGATGGGACTCGTGAAATGGGAGGAGGGAGGTGGGACGATCGGAGGGAGGTGAAAAGGGAGGGGCTGAAGTCGCCATGGACGAAGAGACGGGCTTTCGACAGGCGAGACGAGTGTGACTAGCTGATTCGCACCACTAGCTGTTCCGAAAGCGAAGAAGTGGATGCTTCTTCGTGGGAGAGTGGCGCGGCATAACAGAAGGGGCTGCACTATAACATTGCTGCGCTATTACCTTTGTGCAGACCTGTTGTGCAATTCCCTAAAATGCTTCAATCTCTTTCGTCACTCATACTGGTACCATTTATCAAGAGTTCTCAGGTTGTAAAATATTTCGCAAGACTGTGTTAGGTTAGGCAGATTTTGTGAAACGGTCCTGATCAACAACTGCTAGTTTGTTCATTTGCTCATTCTATGGCTCACTCAGCTAAAAGTGCCAGTAGGTTTGCCAGTACAAACCAGATATTATATGCTACAGCTTTTGGGAGGTATAATATCTGTTTAGGACGGTATACTAAGCAGGCGCTTATAATATGAATAGAATCAAAGCTGGTGTGTCATTTCGTGTTCAGGCAGCATGAAGGACCCGCGAGACAGCATACGAGCCCATGCCATCCCCAGGCCCGTTCCCGCGTGGCGATGGCACTCTAGCCAGAGCGGTCCATGCCACGTCAGCATCCTCGTCACCTTCCAGCAGTGCAAGGGCAGATGCCACCGATGCACGCAGCTCGTCTAACCGCGACTGTGATGCGGACAGGGGCATGGGTTGGGACATGCGCGGATGCTCTAGCACTGACCCGGAAGAATGTGCCTCTGACATTGACCCAGACCGTGACTCTGCTGGGTGTGATTCCAGTGCTGCTGCTGCTCCTGGTGCTGGTGGCACGCATGGGTATGCTGCTGCTGCAGCCGTTGGTGCTGCTGCTGCTGCAGACGTGTCTGGGACTGGGACAGCGAGGGCATCTAAAATGGGCCAGGCGGCAGAGAGGGCCTCGGCCACTCGTATTCTGACATTTGGCACGTTGTCCTGTGGGGAGACGGAGGGGCGGGCAGATAGAAGAGGAAGGGCGTAAGGAGACGGCAGGGGGACAGGGACGAACGGGGAACACACAATGCCAGTTGGAAAAGAGTGCTAGACAGAACGAGCGATGAAATGATGCGACGGCATTACACCCCTTGGGCTTGAGCTGGGGGAAAGCTTACATAGACGAGGGGGAGCAGAAGGGGGAGGATGGCGGAGAGGAGGAAGGCAGATGCATGCAGATGTGCGTTGGGCTCACAGGGGAGGGCTACAGGCGGACAGGAGGGAGGGTGCGTGGAGGGGGGTGGATGTGTGGTGGGGTGTGGGTGTGTGGTCGGGGGTGGGTGTGTGTGTGCGCTGGCAGGAGGGAAGGAGTGCGATGGCGAGGCAAGGAGAGGCGCTGCCAGGGTTGGTCCAATGCAGTCCAGCAGCTCCGTACAAGCTATGCCGAACCTGCGGAGAGGTTTGACAGGAAGATAATTGGAATGGGAGAGAGGATGATCAGAACACGCTTAAAGCACAAATGCAAGGCATCTAGACAAGCTTACAGCCTCTACGGGACAGAGAGGTTATGGCATCTATTCAGCGTACACATATGCAACCATTATGGTGAAGCAATCACTTGAGGAGATGAACACGAGTGATGGAAAGAAGAGACAAGGTGAGCGGGGAGGGGAGAAAGAAAGATGAGGGCAGATGCGCGGAGAAGAGAAGAAGGGCGAGCAGGGGCCAGCACAAAGTACGTTTGTCGGTCGCGGAAGTTGCGACTCGAGGCGAGGCCCGCCAAGGCAGCAAGTAAAGCCTCGGAGGCAGATGCATGAGAGTCCGGGGGAGGGGACACGGCGGGAGATGGATGGGCGCCTGGGTGAGAGGCACGGTGGGCCCCTGGGTGAGAGGCAGGGTGGGCCCCTGGGTGAGAGGCAGGGTGGGCCCCTGGGTGAGAGGCAGGGTGGGCCCCTGGGTGAGACGCAGGGTGGGCCCCTGGGTGAGACGCAGGGTGGGGATGGACCAAGTTCACAGCAACCATGTTGGTAGAGTGAGTGGCATGAGAGGCATCCTGGGGATTGCTTTGGTGCCCGTGCCTGCTGCCATGCACCCCCTTCTCATGCAACATGTCGTGCTCATGCACCCCCTTCTCCTCGCCCTCACGCTCACTACTGCCCTCGCTCTCACCATCCCCCCGCTTCCCTCCACCACTGCTCTCCCCACCATTACTCTCCCCCCTATTGCTCGCCCCATCGCCCCCTCTTGCTTCACCCTCTCCATGCACAGTGCTGCTACTGTTGCCCGAACCACCGTGCGGCTCGGCAGCATACAATTCAGCTGCAAGAGGCTCGGTACAACAGGAGGCAGTAGAATGAGGTTCGGCAGATAAGGGTTCAGCAGGATTGCATGCGGCAGATGCACATGAATCCACACGTTCTGAATGGCCTGCCCAACCCTGTCTTGCTGACGTGGCAGGAAGTGTTGGTTCGCACGTCAGCGACGAGTGGCATGCTGACATGGCTGGTGCTGATGACGCTGATGTGGCGGCTTGCAGTGATGCTGACGTGGCAGCAGACAGGGTAGTAAGGGTCAGCAATTTGGCAGCCTGAAAGGAGAAAGACCATGCGGGGGGGGGGGGGGGGGGGGGAAGAAGGAATACAGTGAGTAAGACAAAAGTAGAGAGGTGGGAAAGAAGCGAGGGCATGTGCTGATGTTGAAAGGAAGAAACAAAAGGCAGGGGAGGAAAACGTGAAGGTGAGATGGAAGAGGAAGGTGAAATGTGGGCGGGAAGCAAGGGGAAGGCAGGAGGAGAAAGGGGCACCAAACAGAACAGCAGAGCTGAGAAAATTACCGAGTGTGGACTCATGCAGACGTGCCAATTGTAACTGTAACTGTAGCCATAACCATAATAATAAACGTGAGTGTAACTGTAACCGTAACCCGATACTTGCACCACTCCATTTGTACAGCAACCCTGGGTGGCATTCACATCACATGTCCTCCCCACCCAACAACACCCTGGCCCCTCACCTGTCTGGCTGCCTCCTCCCGCACAGTGGCGATTCGGTCCCTGCATGCAGCCAATGCAGGCAGTGAGTGGCAGAGTGGGAGGGCGGGAGGAATTGAGAAGAGGAGCAGGGATGAGGGAGAAGCGCAGATAGATGGGCACTGGTTGTCACCTGCACTGGTTGTCACCTGCACTGGTTGTCACCTGCACTGGTTGTCACCTGCACTGGTTGTAATCTATCACTTGTCCTGGATGGTACCTGCAGCAGATGTGACCTGAACCAGATACCACCAGCAGCAGATGTGACCTCAACCAGATATCACCTGCACTGGAATGCACCTGCAGAGGGAGAGAACGAGGTCGATGAGGAGCGGCAGGGCGGCGCTGTTGGGCGGCAGAAGCTGCGCCACTCCTGACGCTTGGCTGGAACGGAGGGAGGTGGGGTGGAGAAGAAAGGGCGAGATGGCGCAGTGAGGAAGAGAGAGAGAGAGGGGGGAAGAGCAGGCAAGGAAGAACGAAAGTACGCAAGTCTAGCTACGAGGTGCCCAGCGCCTGGCTGTACGGCCTCACCTGAGAGCAGCGAGGCGCAGGTGCCAGGAGCTCTCTCTGCCGGCCACCCTCATCTGAGGGCGCACGCGGTTGCGGCTGGGGAGCGCCCTCAGCTGCACCTGCACACTCGGGTTGCTGCCGCCCAGCACCAGCGGCCTCGGCGAATCCGCTGCTGCCACATGGACGCGCACAGTGTTGGGCGCCGGCGTGCCCACCTGCACCTGCAGACGATACTCGCCGCCCTGCTGGCCGCTGTGCTGGCCGCTGCTGCTGGAGGGTTGCTGGTGCAGCTGCTGCTGATCACTGGTGTTGCTGGGGTGCTGTTCCAGTGGCTGTTGACTGTTGCTGCTGCTGTTGCTGGTGGGGTGCTGCTGCAATGGCTGATGGAAGCTACTGAAAGACTGGTTAGACTCCTCCTCGAGCTTCCCCGTGGGACTATGCTCATTCGCTCCCTCCTCCACATCCTTCCCTTCACCTCCATTCCCCTCTTCTCTACTCCCTTGTTCCTCCTCCCCTCTCCGCGCTCCTTCCTCCCCTCTCCGCGCTCCTTCCTCCCCTCTCCGCGCTCCTTCCTCCCTTCTTAATCCTTCTTTCTCCCTGCACTCGTCCCCCTCAAGCTCCCCCTGGTCCCCTCTCAACTCAGCCTGTGCTACCTGAACTTTCCTCTCTGCTTCTGTTTCCTCTGCCCCCTCTGTCCCCTCTGCCCTCTTTGCCCCCTCTGCTACGCCTTCTCCCTCTGTCCCGCCCTCCTTGTTCCCTCTCGCACTCTCCTCACTCAAACTATCCCCATTACTCTCACTACCCTGAACCACACCATTACCACTAGTACTACTGCTCTCACTCCCCCCACTCGAACTATCACCACCGCTGTGCCCCTCACTCACCTCCACACTCCGCCCTACACACTCACGCCCCACCTCCCCTCCACCACCATCCACACCAGCCCCGGATGCCACCTCCCCACCCTTACCCTCCACGCCTGCCCCAAATGCCACCTCCCCCAGCCAGCCGCCTGTCCCAAGGCCACCCAGCCCACTCACTATCTTCGCCCACAGCCCACCGCTCTCCTCCCTCACCTCCCCCTTCGCCTCCTCCCTCACCTCCCCCTTCGCCTCCTCCCTCACCTCCTCCCTTGCCTCCTCTCCCTCACCACATTGCCCACCTTGCCGCCCCTCTCCCCCCTTATTGTCACATATATTTCCCTCACTCTCGTTACTGCCACATGAATTTGCCTCACTCTCGTTACTGTCACATGTGTTACTCCCACCCTCAACACCCGCATCCGCAGCACCACCCACAGGGACCCTTGGCGGCGGGGGGTACCGAGGGCTATCCACATACTCGTCACCATCTACACTTGGCTCTTGAATGAGGCCACTATCAATAACGAATCCCTCTTTACTGGGGCCTGGTGCCACAGGGCTGTCTGCAAGGGAGCTATCTTGAAGAAAACTTGGGTCCAAGGGAGCAACCACCAGCCCCTCTGGTCTCTTCACCGCTCCCAATACGCCTTCAGCAGCACAAGGCACTGCTGCCGACGCACTTCCCTCTCCTCCCTCTTTTCTCTCCCCTCCCTCTCCTCCCTCTCCTCCCTCCCTTCCCACTCTTCCCTCTGCAGCAGCAGCAGCCGCTGCTGCTACTACTGCTGCTTGTGCTTCTGCTGCCAGTGCTGCCCCTGCAGCGCGCCGAGCAGCTGTCTCCTGAGCCTGGACATCCTCAGGCGTGAGCCCCTGGCGCCACAGCAGGCGTGGCAGCAGGCGAGCACAGTGCGGGCGGTGGGAGGCGGGCAGACACGCCATGAAGGCGGTGAAGGTGGGCACCAACGCCATGCGCACCTGAGGGGGGAAGGCAGCGGTAGGCAGGGACTCTGATTAGCATTGCACAGCTCACGTCACCGGCGTCTTACACCCGACCCCCCATCATCCCCACACCCACCTTGTCCTCACACACCAGTGCCTGCAGCTCGGGCAGCATGCAGCAGGTAGCAGGCAGCAGGTAGCATGCAGCAGGCAGCAGACAGTGTGCATCCTAGCACATCCCTCCCCTGCCACCCCTACCCCCTATCTTCTCCCCCTTCCCCCTCCCCCCTCTCTCTCTTACCCCGCACTCACCTCGTCCTCGTCGCACACGAGCGCCTCCAGCGCGGGCAGCAGGCAGCGCACGCACGGTGATGGATGGCCCCAGCAGCCCCGCACCGCACGCCCCCGGCCTCCCTCCCCCATCCTTCCTCCCTCACCCACTCACCTCGTCCTCGTCGCACACAAGTGCCTCGAGGGCAGGCAGCAGACAGCGCACAGTGATGGGTGGGCCCAGCAGCCACCCAGGGAAACGTATACAAAAACAGGCAACCACCCACCCGCCACTCACCTCATCCTCGTCGCACACGAGAGCCTCGAGGGCAGGCAGCAGGCAGCGCACAGTGATTGCAGGCCCCAGCAGCCCCGCCAGCTCATGCACGTGACACGCCAGCGTGCGCCGCACCGCCAGCTGGCACGCCGCGATTGGCGAAGCGGAGAGGAGGCAGGGATTTGAGGAAGGACGAACGGGAGAAGGGAGGGATGGGGATGGAGAGAGACAAAAAGAGTGAGTGAGGGTGGAGTGGGAGTGAGAGAGGAGTGTTTGACAGCATGCTCTCACATGGGGCGATGGGTGCGGTGCAACGCAACACAGATGGGGAGAGAGCAGCAGGCGGACAGCATGATTTGGCTGCCATAACAGAAACATGATGCCAGTGAGATGCAGTTGCTCACAGCGAGCGAGGGGCACTGCTCTCATGGGAAGTGCTGGTGAGGTCACATCATGGGGCGAGGTGAGGAGGCGGACTGCATGACTTGAGTCCCACACACACGCAGGGCGCAGATCTCATGGGGCGCAGCTCTCATGAGGCGCAGCTCTCATGCGGGGGGAATGTCTACATAGGGGGGCCTGCAGTGGGGAGGTCACATGGGGGAGCTACTCACATGGGGCGAGGCGAGCAGGTGCGCGTATGCTGCTTCCAGCTCCCACCAGCGCGATGGCCCCAGCCCCACCACCACCGCTGACAGATGACAGGCGAAAGAGGGGAGGGGAAGGCCAAACGGAACGGGGAAGGGGAAGGGGAAATGGAACGGAGAAAGAGGAAGGGGATGAAGAAACAAGGGAGAAGAGCAAGTGGATGGAAGGGCATGCACAGCACAGGGTTGAGTTCATAGGAGGGGTGTAAGGAAGCTGACGGGTCGACCGCCAACCGGCTTTGCTCCCCGTTTCTGTGTACTGCCAGCCACGCCATCCAAACAGCATGGCATGGCAGGGCAAAGCAAACTGGGTACCTCGTTGCTCTGAAATGAAGGGCGAACTGAGCTGTCCCCCATGCCAAGCCATTACCCCACTCGCCCCTGGGATGGGAAAAACAGCCTCAAATCCCCACCTGGGAGGGGCACCCTCACAAATAACCTCACGAGGCAATGCAAGCACAGCCTCACCTCACCCGGCCCTAACGCCCACCTGGGAAGTTGAAGGCGCAGTAGAGCGGCAGGCGGTCGTCATCGTCAGCATCAGCATCGTCGCCCATGGGCCCTGGCTGTGCCATGCTCGTAAACATGTGCACTAGGTCCTGCATGAGAGGGGTGGGGTGTGAAGGGGTGGAGAGGGGTGTAGAGTGGCAGGCCGTCAGCATCGGCATCATCGCCCATGGGCCCTGGCTGTGCCATGCTCGTAAACATGTGTACTAGGTCCTGCATGAGAGGGGTGTGGAGTGATGTGGAGGTGAGTGGAGGGGTGTGGAGGGGTGTGGAGGTGAGTGGAGGGGGGTGTGAGGGTCGAAAGAGGGAGATGAGGAAGAATGGCAGCGCACACAGCGGACGGTGGGGAGGGGTGTGGAGGGGTCAGGACAGAAGCAGGTAGGGTGGAAGAGAAGGGGTTGTGAGAATAGGAATCGGGATTGACAAGTATTGCAGCTTGCAGGAAAATGAGGGACGTGAGAAGCGGGGACCGAGAAGAAGAGCAATCTGAGGAAAAGTAGAGGAGGCAAACGAGTGGGGGAGGTCAAGTGACACAGCACTAACAGACAAACAAGCTCTCCCTGCGATCCATATTTCACAATGCCCCTGCTCTCATCTCACCCGCATGTCAGCGCCCCTGCTCTCATCTCACCCGCATGTCAGCGCCTCGCAGCACGGACAGCAGCGGCCCCAGCATTTGAAGTGCTGCCTCCCGCACCCATGCTGATGGCTGCCCGTGGGGCAGGGAGTAGGGGGTGGGGTGGGGCGTAGGGTGGGGCGTAGGGTGGGGCGTAGGGTGGGGCGTAGGGTGGGGCGTAGGGTGGGGCGTAGGGTGGGGCGTAGGGTGGGGCGTAGGGTGGGGCGTAGGGTGGGGCGTAGGGTGGGGCGTAGGGTGGGGCGTAGGGTGGGGCGTAGGGTGGGGCGTAGGGTGGGGCGTAGGGTGGGGCGTAGGGTGGGGCGTAGGGTGGGGCGTAGGGTGTGGGGTGTGGGGTGTGGGGTGTGGGGTGTGGGGTGTGGGGTGTGGGGTGTGGGGTAAGGAAAGGAGAAGAGGAGAGGGCAGAGGGGAAGTAGGCGGAGTGGGAGAGGGCAGGCAGAGAGGGAGGTTAGTTGAATGTGAAGTGAGAAACAGTAAGCTACAATCAAAACAAGCTCCAAACCTCTATCTCTCAAGACTAAACCCCCACTCGTATTGTACAACCACTAAACACAACACACCACACCACACCACACCACACCACACCACACCACACCACACCACACTCACATCATTCGCCAGTCGGCCCATGAGCTCCCCAATGAGCTGAGTCCGCTGCCTCACATGTGACACCTCCTCCTCCTCCACACCCTTCCCCCCCTCCTCTCCACCACCCTCCTCCTCTCGCCCCATCACCCCACTTCCCTCCTCCCCACTTCTCTCCTCTACTCCACACTCCCTCACAGTTGCAAGCGAGCTCACTTCAAGCTCTCCCAGTTCGTCACTAATCTCCCGCACTTCTTCAATCTCCCCCCAACTCCCAGACCCCATTTCACCGTGCCGCACCACTCCATAAACCATCCCACCACCCTGCACCCTTGCCTCTCCTGCGAGCCCCACATCCCCCATACTGTCTTCCCCAGTAGCAGATGAAGCTTCTCTCGACAAATCACTCGCAGATCCAAGCTCCTGTGCTGCTGCGCTTGCACTCTCCGCCTCACCTGCAGCAGCTGCCACAGCCCCTCTTCCTTCACCTCTTCCCGCTAGTCCCACTCCGTCTGATCCCACTCCCTCTGCTGCCACTGCTCCTCCTAAAGCTGCTGCTCCCAGTTCGTCCCTCTCCTCTCTCAACTCCACCTCCTCCCTAAGTTCACCTCTCCCACCCTCACTCCCACTACTCCCATTGCTCCCGCTGCTACCACTGCTACCACTGCTCCTGCTGCTGCCACTGCTGCCACCGCTGCTGCTGCTGCTGCTGCTGTCCCTGGCTGCCCACGCTCCCATCACTGCCACTGCTGCCGTTGCTGCTAGCAACACTGCTGCTACCGCTGCCAGTGTCGCGGCCGTCAGCACTAGCAGCAGCAGACTTGGGCGTGAGAGCAACGGCAGCCTCTGCCACTGCTACTATGCCCTCTGCACATGCCACTCGCACTGCCCAGGATGTGTCGGAACACAGCGAGGCGAACAGGGGGAGCTGGGGAACAAAAGGGTGGGGGGGAAGGTGGCAATGCGAACAAGGAAAACAGCACACTAGTCAGACACTGATAGAGTCTAACTCTCGGCAACAGACGCCTCTGCCACTGCCACTATGCCCTCTGCACACGCCCCTCGCACTGCCCAGGAGGTGTCGGAACAGAGCAACGCGAGCAGGGGGAGCTGGTGGAACGAGGGCGTGGGAGGGAAGGTGGGAATGAGAAAACGAACAACACACAAGTCAGCTCAGACACATTTAGAGTCTAACCCTCAGAAACGGCAGCCTCTGCCTCTGCCACTGGTACTATGCCCTCCGCACACGCCACTCGCACTGACAGTGTCGGAACAGAGAGAGGCGAACGGGGGGAGCTGGGGGGACGAGGGAACGGAGTCGCAGCAGGTGGAACAAAGGTGGAAACGAGACAATTAAAAACAGCGCACAAAACAGCTAAGGCAATGCAGGAGTGTAACGCTCAGGAACAACCTCCCCCACCGTTCACTGTCCAATCTTACTCTTTGGCTTTCAGGGACGCCGTGGAGAAGGCAACAGGTTTTCCTTCTAAATGCTTTCACTCACCAGAGAGCCGTCCAGGCATGCAGCACTCACCAGCGAGCCGTCCAGGCATGCAGCGTTGGCCCCCATGGCCCTGCAGCACTGCGCCAGGCCCTCTGCTACTGCCTGCATGGGGGAGGGCGCGGATGGGAGAAAGAGGGGTAAGAAACAGTGAGAAGAGAGTGAGCAATGGAAGTATACAGCATCACTCCACCAGCCTAAGGTCTACGTGCTGTTAGAATCAAGAGAAGCGTGAGCCTGAAGCCAGACGACGCAAGGACGGAGGTGGGAGAGAGTGATGTGGCATGGGTAGAAAGGAACGACAGCATGTGCCGAACCTTCTTCTCCTCTAAGCGAGCAATGCTTGGGCAGCTAAGAAAAAAAGTTTCTGTAAGGTAAAGGTGGATAGAGGGCTAGAGAATGAGAGGGAATGAGCTGTGCTGAGCAGAAATAGTGCTTTTCACGCGCCTCCAGAAGAAGCGATATGCTGAGAAGCAGGAGTGGGACTAGGACCATGCCTGTCCAAGTGAAAAGTGGAAATCAGCACGTTTTTTAGCTGAAGGTGAGTCAGTATTGTGCCATTGCTACTTGGAAGCTTAGTTGGTACTTTACGTTTTTTTGGGTCACGTAAACGTAAACTTACGCTTGAGTTTACCTTAACGTTTTCTTACGCGTAATTTTACGTAAAGTCGCACGGGCAGGGCAAAAAAAGTTTTTTTTGTCTGCGAAATGGGAAAATCTGACTGATATGAGGTGGGAGAGGCTGTGACATGTCCGTGTAGATTTGGGGCATCTGTAAGTTGATGTAATAATGTGCTAACATGCTTGGGCATAGAAGAACCAAGCTAGTGATAGATTAGGCGCTTCCCATGCAGCCACTTAGTCCGATGAATTCTTATCTTTCCGGGCAGGAAGAAATGTTTCTGACTGACCGTAAACGTAAAGCCGTTTTGGGCCCACGTAAGTAAAGGTAAGTTTACTACGTAAAGTCACGTAAACGTAAACCCCCGTAAACGTACAATGCCAACTAAGCTTGGAAGTGAGTCAGCAGCTTACCTTTCTGACTTGGAAGTGCACGTCAGCAGCGAGGGCAAGCAGATGCGGCACGGCTCGGTGCTCAAAGAGAGGGCGACTCATCACCGCCGCACAGCGCACCAGTACCTGAGAAGGCGGGTGGCAGGGAAGAGAAGTTTCTTTTGGCCATTCGAGTCAAAAGCAGCTCGGTGCGCAAAGAGGGAATGCCTCATCCACTGCTGCACAGCGCACCGGCACCGGAGAAGGCATCAAGCAGAGGGGAGAGACTGGATATGCACACAGAGACAAATGGAGGGGGGTGGGGCCGACGAGGAGGAGGGGGGATGCTGATGCTGATGCTGCTGCTACAGCAAATGGACCAATACCGAAAAGAGGGTCAACTCCAAGTGGGACTCACAGAAGCAGCGCAGACGCGAGCAGGCTGGGAGTGCGGCAGCAGGGCGAGGCGCAGGAGGGCATCAAGCAGCATGGCCTCCACCGCTGCGTCTTCCTCCGCTCCATACGCCATCATCGCCACATAGCCGCCCTCCATTGCCACTTGCACCTGCACGGGGGAGAGGAAGGAGGGGCAGGAGCAGAACAGTGTCAGAACAGCAGCATCGCCTCCACCGCTGCATCCTCCTCTGCGCCGTATGCCAACATTGCCACATAGCCTCCCTCCATTGCCACTTGCACCTGCAGGGGGGAGTAGCAGGCAAAGCAGGCAGCGCAGCGGCGCAACACAGGGTCAGCACGGCAGCATGGCCTCCACCGCTGCGTCCTCCTCCGCGCCATACGCCATCATTGCTACATAGCCGCCCTCCATCGCCACTTGCACCTGTGAGGGCGGAGAAGAAGAAGGGGAAGGAGCAGCGGACGGGGACAGAGGAGCAAGAGAGCACAGCGCCATGACATGTACTGCTGTGTCCTACTCCACTCCATACGCCACCATCGCCACATACCCACCCTCCATCGCCACCTACCCGCCCTCCATCGCCACCTACCCGCTCTCCATTGCCACCTACCCACCCTCCATCGCCACCTACACCTACAGGGTGGAGAGGCAGGCAAGTACGAGACAGCTAGGGCAACACCGCATACTGGCCTAAGAACCAGCAAGCATTCCCTACACCGCGGTTTCCCCACGTCTGTCAGCATCAGCTCCATCAGTGCCCCACGCGGCCATCCAGTACCCACGCAGAGAACTGATCCCAGCGCGCAAGGGAGAGCGACCAAGGGAGGGCCGCACGGGCCATTGAGTAGGGATCCCTGCGCCCCCATCCACTGCCCTCTACCCCTTTTTCTTCCCTCCCTTCCTTGCCCTCCTGTCCTCATCCCCTCTGACTCACCTCTTCAGCCTCGTCCAGCAGCAGCAGGTTTGCCACGTCTGTCAACTCCATCAGCGCCCCATCCATCCACTACCCCCTTCCTTCCTCCCTTCATCCAATTTC